ACTTAGTTTCTTCCAAAAGTTAATTATCCAAAGCCTTGAACACCCCCCTCTATTTAGATGTAATGGTTTGGTCCTGCCTCCAAACGCTGTGTGGCCTATTTTATTAAAGAGCATATCAAAAGAAAGACTTGTGTTATGTCTTCCTTAATGCAATAGTAATTGGGGGTGCAAGGAGTCTGGCAGAGGCAAAACTGTGGCACGCTTACACTTTAGGTGCGCCACAGTCTGCGTGACCTGCCTGTAGGGAGGGGCGGGCCGGCCCTGCGAGTAAAGTACGACGTTGTGAGGCTCGCTGCTCCGCCCTTTGAGGCTCGAGGACAGTGTGAGCTGGATTACTGGTGACGTCGGAACACACACACACACACACACACACACACACACACACACACACACACACACACACACACACACACACACACACCTGCAGACCATTTACATGCAGAAAAACCTACATAACACACAAGGGGACGGGTAATAACCAGAAACGCATGACATGGGACCTTTAACACTCAGAGTTCCACATCTTATAGGAGAATAAAAAGTGTTTCCATATGAATGCAAGTGCTCAAACAATGACCTTATCCATAAACAAAATAGCTAATCCTTGAATTAATTGTATACATTCAGCTGCATTTATAATCTCCAGCCTTTCAATAATACATTAGAAATGATATGAATGCAGAAGGTGAGGTGTGTATGCTCACTGTACATTAAGGAAGAAAGACTAGAGCCAAAAGCTTATTGTACAGTTTCCCTTATGCAAATCTACAAAGAAACGCTTCAGAGGGAAATCTAAATGTGTGTTTAAGATTTGAGTTGCTGCTGAGGTTGCTAAATCATTCTGGGATGTCTAGCTCTAACTCTGACTCCATACGTCATGATAAGTACACACGTTATAAACAACACTGTTGGAGTATGCAGCATTAGATGGAGCTCAAAGCTGTTCTGAATATGTATTTCTACACACTGTAATGAGCCAAAGAATGCTAAAAGATGATAGTGAACAGTTAAAGAGGTAATATCGTACCACAAGCTTCTCGGGGCTGATCCAGTTATTCTCTGGGAACTGGACATCAAACTTGACATACAGGTCTCCCTTCTCAAAGGGGTTACGGTACTGTGGCATGCCCTCTCCTCGCACCACCCTGACTGCGGCTGGAAAAGATACAGCAGGAAAAAAGAAGATTAGACAAGGCTTTTTCACAACTTGAACGAAAATCATGGTACGCTATATTCTCTCCGCTGAAGTTTGCCTCGAGCGGCCCTCATGTGTTGATGTTGTTGAAGGGATTTCTTTTTGCCGATTCTTAACCAGCTTAGTTTCACTGTTGACAGTGTGTGCATCCCAACAGGACCCAAAGGACGAGTCCCTGTGTCGCGAAAATGAAATGATACAGGCATTGTGGGAAGTGAGAGAAGGGGCCAGATATGGTCAAATTAAAGAATATTTTTGGTTAGGACAATAGTGCACAGGAATAATACCTTTGGGTGTAAGGAGAACGGGTGAAACTCTTGAACAATATACACTAAAGTAATTTAGTGTGCTCAGGTAAGAGGGCATTTCCTTGTCCTGCAAGCAGATGATATTTACCTTTCTAATATTAATTATGTACATTTGATTGGTTAAAAACAGTATGAGAGTATTAACCTGGTTCGATGACTTTGCCAGCGGGGTACTTCACAACGATCTGTCTCCCGTCTAAGTGTTTGAGCATGAACTGGAAACCGCACAGCGCCTCCACCAGCCCCAGCTTGTGGTTCATGAACAGGTCTTTACCATCTCGCCTGAATGTCTGAAAGCAGAGAGAAACGGACAGTTAAAAGCAGCTTTTTAACAACATTATTGACCATGGGACATTTGATCAATGGCATCAAATGACCAGTTTTCTCACAAACAGACAGACCGGCAGCATCTGCTGGGCAAAAGCAGCAGTGCAAGCCTCAAAACGTACAGTGGAATAAGATACAAAATTAAGCATCATCTAAAAATAGCTTTCACACCGGAGTACTTTTCCCCTTTAGTTCCGATAGTTCCTAGGATTTTGCGTTAACACCAAAAAGAGAACTTAGTTTATGAGAACTTTTCCCCCCTTTTCAGTCCCTGTTAGAGCAGGTACTTTCCTGGGGAGAAAAAAGGTTCCAATTTCTGATTGGCTGGGCTAATTGCAAACCACGCCCCGTAAATCTGAAAGTTTTGGAAGCCGCCATTTTATTTGCTGGCATTATAATTATTAGTATTAGCCCAGGACTACACACACACACACACACACACACACACA